TTCTATGACTTTGCTTTTCTGACAAAAATAAATTCACCTTAATCGCAGCACCAATAAAATCTCCATGAATTTTGAAAACACTTCTATCTCTAGTTAACCGCTCAGGAAGAGATGTGCGAGTCATTTCGTGCGTTGTTTGCAGCTCCTCATTCCAGTCACGTATCTGTCCCGGTAGATGATCTTAAATATTCTCTGACATGGAAAACGTATAGCGAAGTGAAAACTGGTAACAAGGAAAATTCAAGTCAAGGACTGACCCTCGAACCCAACACGATGTGGTTGAGAAGCGTCATCAGCACGGATTGAATCTTCCACAACCTCTTGCGGAGGCGATAGCCATGAATACACTGGGTAAGGTGTGGGAAGTCTGTCGAGCATATGACGCTCATTACGCTTCTTTATAATCACAGGATACGCCTATAACGGATTGATCACAAAATTAAATTGGGGGAAAACACCAGAATTTCCTACCTTTTTGAACCCAGGGCTGACTACATTGAGCAAATCTACCAAACTATGAGTGATTCCTTTATTTTGATTACTGGGAGCTGGATTGAATACATCATCTGTTGAAGAATTGACGAAGAATCCCTGCAATACACTTTGAATCTACTACCAATAACATAATCAAGACTGCTCTACCTTTGTGCAACATGTGATATGAAGACGACGCTTCTCTACTGTGTCTACGAAAATATACAATACATCTCCCTTGACTTTTCTATGGCCAGGCGGCGGGTTAAATGCAGATATTCCGAGATTCCGCAACGCCACTTTCCCTTTTGACAAATTTGTCAACATTGGTGCAAGAGAACGCTCCTGAAAGAATTTTTAGCAGTGGATATGTGGACACCCTTCTAAAAATTGGGTAAGGCTCCATAGTGCATGAATCAATGAAAGTCTACATCATCTCTTCAACCTACAATTTCCTATTTCGCTACGAAATTCTAGCAGAGACCAAGTGATATGGAATTTTAAAGTAATAATTTTCTCAACGAGAGGTTGCAAATGGTTTACTGTGGTGAGAAAAGGGGAAGCTTACGGAGTGCCTGTGACAACTGTATGACTGAATACATGTAACACTGTTATCGCCTTTTTTAATTGAAAAATCGCCTATTTCTACATTGCAATTTGGCGACAACACAACCAAGTTTTCCAAATGCACATGGAAGCCACATTTTACTGATCATATCGTATTCAAGGTGATACTCTTACACGAAAAAACGGTATTTTTCGGAAGATTAAATAAACCCTTTATGCAAAATTTGAGAATTTAACAGACTCAAAGAGAATGCGTGACTGCACATCATACCTTTGTTCCAGGAAGAACATAGTCTGGTGGAAGTCCATCAAAAGGCTTTTCCTTATCTCCCCTTTCCTGAAGATTTACTGAGGGCAGGAAAGATAACGATGTTAGATCGACTGCAGAAGCAGCATCAGCTTGGTCACTATTTCGCAGTAATTCACGCACATGGCGGAGATGAATACGGGCTTCTCTCATTGTGTAAGGTTCTGAAAATGACAGATTTGCCTTACCGTATAGGGTTTTTAGATTGCTTTTATTTCTCACCTTCAACAACGTGAAGGACACTTCCATCAGTGAGACCCGGCACGGCTCGAATTTCAGTAAAGTTGTCAAGCGTGACTCCGTTCAACTGAAGGCTGAAACATGTCTTGTGACATGTTGCCTCGCGCTCCAATAACACCTGATGCAGCTCCTGCACCATTTCAGCACTGTTTATCTGCAAAACAGCATATACATCAACCTCGCCTAAGCCGGTAGTCAAGTTAGTAAACAAGTCTCCAAAAAAGGTGAATTTGCGAGCAAAATAGTATTATTGAAGCTAGAAATGTGATACTCAAACAAAGCACAATGGACAGGAAAACTTTCAGGAGACTTTGAAACATAAAAAGAACAAAACTGTTTTTTTTTTTTGAAAGCCTCGAAAATTCATGTTAGTTTTGATGGCAATGATGACCGAAGATGGCTGCAGTATACCCCACTTAAAAATTTGCATAACAAATCGATTTTCAAAATCCCTCATCACAAAAAGTTTTGATGAATTTTTTTTGTTTTTAACTTTTTCAAGTAAGACCAAAATTCAGGATTTAATCAATGTGTTCTGTCCGTTGTCTTCATTTAAAAATAAGTACTTCAGCTGTTCAGATCCTACACGACATTGAGATTCAAGTATAAAACTCTTTTATGGATAGTACAGTGTTTAAATCTATGGATTCAGTTAAAACATATATTTTATTGCTCATGACCGTGCTGAATTTGATTTTTTTTCTGGTTCACATTGTGAGCTCCAGTTGAACCAGATAGTAAGCCTACCATTGAATAAACATCATTACTTCAACTTTCGAACAAAACCTCCCTGCTGTGCTTCAACGAAAGTACCTTACAAACTAGAAAGTTAAAAAAGTACATTTCGCCAAAACAAACGAGACTATGGAAATAGTTCCCCGAATAAAAAGCGACAAACTGAATCTAACGAAACAAACCTGTAGGTCAAAAGGATCTCCAACAGTCGGCTGAATGGTTAGAGAAAACACTGTTTCCTGAGGTGGCCCTTTGGCAGCTCCATCGGAATCCATGGCCTCACCTGAAAACTCGCTCACTTAGATAACTCAGCTCCAGACAAAGCCGCTAAGCTGAAGTATGTTTCAGTAAGAACTGCAGAGAAGTCCGAAGAGATCTGCACAAAATTTTCTTTTTTGCGCAAATCAGAGAACGTTACATATGAGTCCATGTTTGCGAATTAATTGTGGTACAGAGAAACCGACATATTGACATAAAGATGGCAGAGAAAAAGTTAACATAGTATAGGACAAGTCGTCTCGTTTTCTCAGTCACATGTTGCTCTAAAAACGCAAATTTTCTGGACTTGAACCAGAATAGTACTATTGATAGAATGTTAGCAGAAAAAGCATCCGGTGAGAGGAGGAAAAGATATGAGTTGCAATTTTTGAACAGTATACACACCGTTCATAAGAAAATAGACACCAATGGCAAAAAGCAGATTTGGCCCAACCTAAAAGCAGCCGCGGATCTGTATACAGAATCGTTCATATTTGGAATTTTTGAGAGTCTGTCGGTTAAGGCTGGAAAGTGACCTATGGAAAGAAGTCTCCTTTGATATTATTCCCATTTTGGCTTGAAAGAAAGCAGCGTTGAAGTTGATGGCATCGGGATCATTTATATATAGATATCAAGTTGAATACAACCAAACCCAGGGGAAAAAAGTTATCCGGTAAGGTGTACAAAGATGGAGAGCTTCTCATATCTGCTACATTGAGAATTTGGATCCAATGTGTACAAGACCAGTTCAGGGATATCAGTGAACCAATTAAATTGTCTTCGTAAAAATACACTTACCATTTGTTCGAACACAATCAGGTGACCCACTGACAGAGGCATTCCCCGAATCGGACAGTTGCGGCTCGATAGTTTCCTTCGAATTTGCCGCAACTGCTGAGTCTACCTCAGCTGATGTCATACCTAAAATATTATTTATAAATTCCTTATTCTCGTTAGGTCATATAAAATCGCTGTGCAGATTGAAAGGGAAAATCCTTTGTAAACAAGGCAACTACAGCACTCTGCCAGACACGAAACAGAGAAAAGAAGAGTCTGATAAAAAAAAAA